TGAAGCCAGGGGCTTGGGGCCACAGCCTTACTCCTGTGACAGGTGAACCCATTTTCTGACTCAACACAGAGTGCTTGAGCAATGGTTCTCCTTTGCGGGGCTGGGCCATGAAATTCTTGGCTCAATTTATGCAATTCTTTGGGTTCCTTGGTTCCTGGTGGGCTCCCCCAATCCTGGTTCTGGGTCTATGGTCCGTGCCTTATACATCATGCACTTACTTGAAGGAAACACTTGCTGGAGGCAAGAGGAGTCACTGCGCCCAATGCATCCTCTCATTTAGCCACACGCTTCCTTAGAATCATCTTCCGCGTCATCCAGATGCTTCTCAGTCTAAGGGTGGAGGAGAAAGGGGATTGGCTGAGCTGCTGCCAGGGGCTCTAGTGTGGGGGGACAGTGCAGTGAGGGCTGCCCCAAGAGATAAAGCGGAGAACAGGCCCCGAGCACAAGGAAGGAGTCAAGCACGATCTTGGGTGGCTGGGCCTTGAGCGGGAAGTAGGGAAATCAAATCTGGACATCAGGCCCAGTGACCTCTGTGGGATAGGAGGGAGGTCAGAGAGCAGAACTTGTGGTGACAGCTTACAGGGGGTTGTGAATTAAATAGAAACTGTATTAAAATTTGGCCAGGAAACCCATGAGTAAGTAGGAGGCTTGGGGACCCTACGATCAGCTAAATGTGCAGTGCTGAGTATGGCGATAGGAGTTTATGTAATTTACTTAATAGAAAAAAATTTTTAGAATTTAAAATAGAAGAGTCATCCAACTACACTGTAGCATAGCAATCCAGCATAATCCCATCAGTGGATTTTGTTTGTTTTGTTTTCTGTTTTTTTTTTTTTTTTTTTTTTAGATGGAGTCTCACTCTGTCACCCAGGCTGGAGTACAATGGCACGATCTTGGCTCACTGCAACCTCCACCTCCCAGGTTCAAGCAATTCTCTTGCCTCAGCCTCCTGAGTAGCTGGGATTACAGGCATGCACCACCACACCTGGCTAATTTTTTTATTTTTAGTAGAGACAACACATTTAGCTGATCATAGGGTCCCCAAGCCTCCTACCTACTCATGGGTTTCCCGGCCATTTTAATACAGTTTCCATTTAATTCACAACCCCCTGTAATCTGTCACCACAAGTTCTGCTCTCACGACCTCACCGTGTTGGCCAGGCTGGTCTTGAACTCCTGACCTCAGATGATCCACCTGCCTCGGCCTCCCTAAGTGCTGGGATTATATGCATGAGCCATTGCACCTGGTCCCATCCGGTAGATTTTGATTATCTGTCAGAAGTTCAGCTACAGACTTGATAAAAAAGTTAAAAAAAGAAAAAGGGTTTTGAGTCCCACAATGGATGGCTCAAGCCCTGCCCCAAAGCCGTGCACTAGGTCACAGGGGAGCCCCCAGTCTCGCTTAGAGCCCCCTTGGGTTTCAGGAATCAGAGCCAGCTGGGACCCCAGAGCCCATTTAAACCAAGCTCTTACACAAGATGAAGAAATCGAGGCCCCTGTGAACTCTTTTCTTGCCTAGGCCTCACAGGCTGGGTTACTTGCAGCACCTGCCCTCAGTACTAGGACTCTAATTGGCATAGCATTGCTGTGGGTTGAGCAGAGCTGGAAAGAAGTCTTGCTCTTTCCATCCTGATTTCCCAGCCCAAGATTGCTGCAGCCTTAGGGCCTTGGAGAGATTGTTTTAGGTGGAATACGTTGGTTGCAAGAAACAAAGACACCTTCCCAAATTGAAGGAGGTCATGGAGTGCGTGCAGGAGTAAGACGTATGCACAGAAGAGACTCATTAAACTCAGCCATTAAACTCACCACACACCTGCTGTCCTGGGCCTGCATGGTGTCCTGTCTACCTCTCCCCGGGCCTGCATCCTGCTGTCTTTGTAGGGCAGCTTCCTCTCCTTCCACAGGGCCCCTGCAGCTCCATCACTTGACCTTTTTTTTTTTTTTTTCCTGATTTTGTTTTGAGACAGAGTCTCACTCTGTCGCCCAGGTTGGAGTGCAGTGATGTGATCTCGGCTCACTGCAACCTCCACCTTCTGGGTTCAAGCAGTTCTCCTGCCTCAGCCTCCCTAGAAACTGGGATTATGGGTGCACGCCACCACACCCAGCTAATTTTCGTATTTTTAGTGGAGACAGGGTTTCATCATGTTGGCCAGGCTGGTCTCGAACTCCTAACCTCAGATGATCCACCCGCCTTGGCCTCCCAAAGTGCTGGGATTACAGGAGTGAGCCACACACCTGGCCTCATCGCTTGATCTTGTGCATGGCATTTGCTTGTCACGGTTCCACCACCACCTTTCCTTTAACTCCATGCTCTACCACCAGCTGACTAGAGTCTTTTTTCATAGTTGCAATTTTGAAAGAGTGTCAGATCGGCCTAGCTCCCTTATGTATGGATGAATTGGCTTTAAGTCCAAGTTCTAGCCTTTGTTCATCAGTGGAAGTCCAGGTGTATGAGTAGGTGAGGTAGGGGGAGGGTAGGCAGGTAGAATGACTTGCTTTAATCCTGGAGATCTGCAAGCCATTTTCCAAAGGACTTAAGAAGCATGAATGGAACCTCCCATTCCCTCATGAATCTGCAGATTGCTATGGCTGGAATGTAGGGTGCAGGGGAGTGGCAGGGCAGGGGCCTGGTCAGCTGGAAAGGGGCATGAGACAGGTCCCCAAGGCCTTTGTCTGGGTCACAAGGCTGAGAAACCTTGTTATCTGTGTAGGTGGGTTATCCATCTCTCACTGGAGGTTTGGCCTGGAGTGAAAAGAAGGATACAAGAGGCTGGCTAGGGAGAGATGGAGAGTGGGGTCTTCCTTCCTGTTGAGGAGGTAGAGCAGTCAGCCCAGCAGTGCCCACCCTCAGCCCCACCCCAGGAGCACTTTGCTCCTGTTCCCCTAGGAAGGCTCCCTGTGGGTGGGTCCCAGCTGACCACTAGCTCAGCTGTTTGCCTGCAGAGACCTCTTCCCTGATGGCTCTCCTTTCCCTTCTGACTCTGGCTCCTGATGTTTAGTTGGCATTAATTATAAATAGCAACAAAGTACCCAAAGCCTTAAGCAATTTTTTCTTTTTCCATCTCACCGGATGCCTTTGTTGTTTGCCCTGTTCTGCCCTGAATCTTTGTGAGGTCTTGACGTTTCCACCTGTCACATGGCTCACTTCAGCTTCAGTTCTGTCTATCAGCATCTGCCGTCTCATGGGATGACTCTTGTTTCTCTTTGTATCTAAGGGTTTCTTTCCCCTGGACACCATCCTTGCGTATCTATCACTCCCCTGTCCCTCCACGGGTTTCTCTTTCTCTCCTTACTAATTATCATTCATGTATCCCTCTTTCCCAAGCTTGATTAGGGGAGTTAATTTAGCATAATGGATCTTCTCTTAGCTTGGGCTGAGCTGAGTGCGAGCATGAAAAATGAAAAGTCAGACTTTGGGAATTCCACCGTTATTTCTACTAGAAACGGTTACATCAGGTGAACGAAGATTGTGGGTGATGAGGGACTTGGGGAGAGAGGAGTGTTGGGGAATGGGCACATTTCTCCATTGCTGGGAGCAGTCTCTGTGGTACCAGTAGTCCTGAAGGTAGCACGCCAAGACTGTTCAAAAGCCTGAGAAATTCGGAAACTCTTTGACCCAGCACAATTTTATTCCTAAGACTGTGTCAGAAGAGAATAATCATGGGTCTTCCTGGAAGATTTTGTTTCAAATACTATTTGCCATTGTCAGAAGAGAATAATCATGGGTCTTCCTGGAAGATTTTGTTGCAAATACTATTTGCCATTAGCAAAAAAAAAAAAAAAAAAAAAAAAAAGTATAGAGATGACTTAAATGTCCAGCCTCTGAGGATTGGGTACAATTTATGGTACAGCTACTTAGGGTATGATACATGGCTCATTAGAGATCTATGGGTACATATCTATTATGTAGCCATTAAAATGCTGCTGAAGATTACTTAAAGACAGAGCACTTACTAAACCATGCCTAGCTTTATTACATCTTTATAAAACGCCTGAAAAATAAAAACAAGAAACAGGCAGAGTATGTTATCTATAGTTATCTTGGATGAAGAAAGAATGGGTACATTTTGTCCTTTTCATTTAATTATATTTTCTAAAATTTATAGATTGAACATACTTTTTTGACATGAGGAAAAACAATTATTTTAAAAACAAATGCTCTCTATTCAGACAACTATAGTACTATATAGGCTGAAAATTTAAGATCAGTTAAAAATGCTTCCAAAATGAATTAGAAATTGAATTCACATTTGTAACAGCTAAACAACATACTATAGGTCAAAAGAAACTGTGAACAAATTTGACGTATTTGTTGATTGAAATCCATTGTCCACAAGCCTTCTCTAAACACAAGACTTGGGCCCAACCTGTAGCTTTCTTTTTTTTGAGACGAAGGCTCCCGCCTGTTGCCCAGGCTGGAGTGCAATGGAGCGATCTCAGCTCATTGCAACCTCTGCCTCCCAGGTTCAAGCGATTCTCCTGCCTCAGCCTCCTGAGTAGCTGGGATTACAGGCACCTGCCACCACGCCCAGCAAATTGTTTTGTATTTTTAGTAGGGACAGGGTTTCACTATGTTGGTGAGCTGGTCTCGAACTTCTGACCTCAGGTGATCTGCCCGCCTTGGCCTCCCGAAATGCTGGGATTACAGGCATGAGCCATCGTGCCCACCAATCTGTAGCTTTCTAACCCTTGCTTTTTCTTACTGTGACTAGTGAGTAACACAAGGATTCCATGACTGTAGTAGAGTTTGCTTTGCCTGATCTACAACTCGCTCTGAAATTGTGTATCCCCAGAAAGGACGGGTATGGGTGAACATGTAGCTCATTTAGGTCCTGAGAAGGAGGCTGGCTGCTTCAGGTGAGGGCTGTGATTCTGAAAGATGCTTTGAAGTGGCACGAGTGTCCAGAGCTGGCAGTGGGAGGGGCAAAGGCTCTTTTCTCTTGAATGTATTAATGCATGTGCTTCTGGTGAAACTTTGTCGTTCTTTTTCCCCACTGCAGGCGAGGGTAGAGCCAATTGTGCAGAGCCCTGCAGCCGGCAGTCCAGGGAGAAGTGGTGAATGTCATGGAGCCCAGCTGAAATGGACCGGCCCCCTTGAGCCTGACCCAAGCCCACCAGCTTTCCATCCCAGTGCTGAGGTAAGACCCCTTGAATCCCAGCCTGAGGAGGAGAGGACACAATGCCTTTTTTCAGGGGCAGGAGGCAGAGGGCCTTTTCTAAGGCTCAGGAAAGAAGGAGCCATTGTTTCTGGTTTAGTCAAACCATCTGCTTCAACCTCAGCCCGTGGGGAGGCAAGGTCATTTGGTGGCCAAAGAGGCTTCTGGTTTGTCAGAGCAGGTCTTTTGGAATCTTGATGGGAATTATATTTTCTCAACTACTGGTGAAATTTGAATTCCAAAAATAATAAATTTATACTCCAGGTAAGACTGAACCAGATTCAGGTAAATGCTTAAATATACCTCCTCTGCTCTGCAAAGGCTCTATTGTGAAACACATACGCAAACACACACACACACACACACACACTCTCTCTCTCTCTCTCTCTCTCTCTCTCTCTCTCTCTCTCTCTCTCATATTTATCCTCCAGGTAAGACCAAACCAAATTCAGGTGAATGCTTAACTTAAATATACCTCCTCTGCTCTGCAAGGGAGCTATTGGGATATTGAACACACACACACACACTCTCTCTCTCTCTCTCTCTCTCTCTCTCTCTCTCTCTCTCTTCCTTCAACCCAAGGGTGACAGAGTGACAAATTATGCAGAGACAAATTATTCCAAAACATTCTGGGAAGCTCACTAAAAATCGATTTTAATTACCTGTGTATGTTCTGATTATAAAGGTAATATGTGCTCATAGGATGATTGGAAAAATACTGTTGTGGAAGAAAATAAAATATATCTGAAATCCTACCCCTGTTAACAATCCTTCAGGTGGTTTCCTATTAAGGTTACTCTTTAAGCTTCCACAGGATGTTGATTTTTCCTTCGTGGAGGTAAAAAGGTGAGGCAGAAGGAGAGCTTGCTGCTAATTTAGAAACTCTGTTTCCCAGTTTTTATATAGTCAAGAATTTTTCAAAGTGCTTGTTAAAAACTATTAAACATGATTGTTGACTTGTAATTGACCACAATGGGAAAACTTATGCTACGGAAATGAGCAAATGCTACAATCCAAGGCCTTTGTGTTTTGGAAATTCTGATTAGACAAGCATGCCACTGGTTTCAGGGCTTACTTGACCCCAGGCTGTGAGGCACCTGGCAAATCACGTCCTCTCTGTGTGCCTTCCCTTCCTCACCTGTGAACAGTAGGTGCCCGGTAACATTATTTGCGCGAATAAATGAAAGTGAGATTTCCGTCATTATTTCATGAGACGATCGTGAGGGTTCCATAAAATAATGAAAACAACAATGTTTTGCCTACAGTGAGCGTCCCTGCCCATGTAGGAGGGGCTTAGTTAAAGGGGAGACCTTTGGCTCAGCGGTAGAGAGAAGTCTGCTTTTCCTCGCTTTGGCTCCTGCTCCCTGGGGAGCCTGCCGGTTACTGACACCCTTTCATAAAGGCAGATGAAAACCCACCATTTACTGACCAACATCTGGGGCACATTTCCTTCCTGGAAAAGTCAAGAAGTTGGTCAGAGAAGTGTGAAAAGGAAGCCTCAGCGATGCAGGATGTGAGAGCCAGAACTGAAATGAGAGCTTTTGACTCATAATCTCTAATGGGGCTGTGGGGAACTTCCTGCCAAATGTGAAATTGTAACAAAAGCCTCTTTCTTCAAAGCCCTGCTGTTGCAGCGGATTAGAGCTAATATATTAACATAATGAAGTCCCAGCCACTGCCCCTCTCCCTCTGCTTCCTGAATCTCCTTCATGTGTCCCAAAGGAGGGGTGAGACATCAGTTAAGCACCAGTTTATCTTTGTAGAATTGTAGGTTTGGAAAATTATAAAGTTGGGAAGGTCTACAGAGTCCATCTGATCCCATGTCCTCATATTAAGAAGCCAGGCCACTGAGCTGGTGATTACCAGTGCCTGAGGCGAAAGTACTATTCCTGGGAGGAAGGGAGCCCAGGTCGAGGGGTGGAGGAACGCTGCTCAGGAGACCGCCTCATCATAGAGCTTGCATATGACTGGCAGGGGACGTGGTGGGTGGTCTCCAGGTGCCAGCCCTACCTCCCCCCTTTCTAGTCCTTCCTCTGTATCTGAAGCCCCAGTATGCTTCCTGAGGTCCCTCCTTCAGGGGCTTGGTTTCCTGGTCAGCAAAATCAACTAAGACCTTACTTTTTATTATTTTTTATTTTTTGGGACAGAATGTTGCTTTGTTGCCTGGGCTGGGGTGCAGTGGTGCAATCTTGGCCCATTGCAACTTCCACCTCTCAGGTTCAAGCGATTCTCTTGCCTCAGCCTCCCTAGTTGCTGGGATTACAGGTGTGTGCACCACATCTAGCTAATTATTTTGTATTTTTAGTAGAGATGGGGTTTCAACATGTTGGTCAGGCTGGTTTTGAACTCCTGATGTTGTGATCCACCTGCCTTGGCCTCCAAAAGTGCTGGGATTACAGGCGTGAGCTACCAGGCCTGGCCTAACTAAGATCTTATTCTGAGAACCTTTAGGTCTATTTATGACAAAGGAAAGGAGGGGAAGGCTGTTGACTGAGCTCATGTTCTTGATGAGCTCCATCATTATTTCATACAACAATCGTGAGGGTCCCATAAAATAACGAAAACAAAAATGTTCTGCACACAGTGAGCCTCCCTGCCCATGTAGGGAGAGGCTTAGTTGACTGAGTTCATGATGGTTCCTGGCATAGTGTTTTGTGATCTGTCTCATTATCTCATTTAATTCTGCAATGAACTAACGAGGTATCTATCCCATGTCATGAGTGTGGAAATAGAGTCTTACAGAGGTAAAGAGACTTCTCCAAGATTTCACAGCTCATAAGCAAAAGAGATACCCTAAGGCTGTCTGTGATCTCCACAGCTTCTCAAAGCTAGTGAGTGCTTTTTATGGCAAGCGCTTGCCACGTGGGGGTTCCCAAGTCCACTTCCGACACTCAGAGCCTTTCCCCTTGGGGAATATCATTCCACCTCCAAAGCTCTGTGAACAGCTGCAGCTCAAAGTGCTTGGAGCTTTACAATATACTGCACTGTTCCTTTCAAACCCCAAGGGCTCTTCCTTGTAGAGTAAGACAGCACCAGTGCTGGGAGCATTTATAGAGAGCTACAGTATAGTCCTCTCCTTCAGCTGATGCCCCAGGAGGTGAGGCCCAGTGGCGCTGTGCCCCTAGATCTCCCCTCCACTTAGAAGCAAGGGGTATCTCGGTCTCTCGACTCTCAGAACTGTTTCCAGGGGAGTGCATGGAGGTCTATATGCTTGCTCCTCCTTTGCAACTCAGGAAGAGATTATTCCTCTCGCAAGAAGGATTTAATTCAGTTCCACAGATACTTACTCAAAGCCTACTATGCGCCCTGCCAAATATCCCAGCCTGTCTGGGCAAGAAATTCTGGCCCACACTTGGACGTACAGATCTGTCAGGGGACAAGAGAAGGTGCTTCCATACTTCAAGGCTGTTTACGACCTTCTCTTTCCCACACACCCTGTCAGTCATTGCCAGCCTTTCCTTCAAGAACTCTAAAGGGAGAAATTATGTCTCAAGTAGCTATGTGTCCTGGGTTCTTAGACTCCTGGAGACAGTTTTTTTTTGTTGTTGTTATTGTTGAGACGATATCTCGCTCTGTTCCCGAGACTGGAGCGCAATGGCGTGATATTGACTCACTGCAACCTCTGCCTTCCAGGTTCAAGTGATTCTCCTGCTTCAGTCTCCCGAGTAGCTGGAATTATAGGTGCCTGCCATCATACTGGGTAATTTTTGTGTTTTTAGAAGAGAAGGGGTTTTGTCATATTGGCCAGTCTGGTCTTGAACTCCTGACCTCAGGTGATCTGCCCACCTCAGCCTCCCAAAATGGGATTACACGTGTGAGCCACTGCAACTGGCCTGAACACAGTTTTAAGCGCCTAACTTGCTAACTGGGGAACAAACCAGCAGATGGAGGAAAGAGTCAGGGTCTTTGGAAAATACTTGCTGAGGGACAGGACTGAGGGGTGGAGGTGGAGTGGCAGAGGGAGTGATTTGGGAGACACTGCTAAGTGGAGGTGGTGCTCTGCCTTCAGCTTTGGCTCAGTAGGGCACTCAGAACGTGAATTACAGCCAAAAGAGCTCCCTGGAGGGCTTGATCGTTAGTCATCACGTGTTTCACTGGAGGAAGTGGAGGCACAGAAACGGGAAGGGTCTTGTTTGCAGCATGAGAGGAACTGGAGTCTGTTCTGCTGACTGTCTGGTTAGGTCCTTGATCTGAAACCGCCCACTGGCAGTAAATGAAAGGGTGTCCTGGGAAGCAGGCACAGCCTGCTTCCTGCCTTAGCCCATCGGGCCCAGCGTGGGCTGGCTTTGGCTGTTGGAGGTAGTTGTGGCAGTGGCAACCCAAGAGGGAGAGTGTGTCATTTCAGCGATGCCAAAGATCTCCTGCAGCCCCGCCCCTCACTATCCTTTGGAGCCTTCTTTTCCCCCCTCCACCCCCACCCCCAGGTGGAGTCTTGCTCTGTCGCCCAGGCTGGAGTGCAGTGGCACGTTCTAGGCTCACTGCAACCTCCGCCACCTGGGTTCAAGCGAGTCTCCTGCCTCAGCCTCCAGAGTAGCTGGGATTACAGGCATGTGCCACCATGCCTGGCTAATTTTTGTATTCTTAGTAGAGACAGGGTTTTATCATGTTGGCCAGGCTGGTCTCAAACTCTTGACTTTGTGATCCACCCGCCTTAGCCTCCCAAAGTGCTGGGATTACAGGCGTGAGCCACCACGCCTGGCCTGTTTAACTTAAAGGAGCTGCCAAACTGTCATCTAGACAGTGTACCATTTGATGTTGCCACTGTGTACCAGAATTCCAGGCGCTTCACTTCCTTGCCAACATTTAGTATGGTCCTTCTCTTTTTTTTTGAGACAGAGTCTTGCTCTGTGGCCCAGGCTGGAGTGCAGTCGCATGATCTCAGCTCACTGCAACCTCTCCCTCCAGGGTTCAAGCAATTCTCCTGCCTCAGCCTCCTGAGTAGCTGGGGTTATAGGTTATAGGTTACAAACCAATAGGTTATA